TATCTGCAGAAAAAGGGGGTATGCATAGGATCGAGCATTGCACCCACACTGAGCAATCTTTTTCTCACCCGTCTTGATGTTTTGCTGTCTGATAAGCTCGCTCAGACGAAGGTACGAAAGGTTTTTCGGTATGTGGACGATTTCTTGTTTTTTATTGAGTGTTCTTCAGTTGAGATTGAGGCACAGGGTGCAGAAGTTCGGCCAATAATTAAGGAGTGCAAGATCCTGTACCACTTGAAGTGACGTACGAAATACCGCAAGAGGGCACAATCCACTTTCTTGACCTTCGTCTCTTTTGTTCGTTTGAACACACTTGCTGGTGCTATGAGCCGCGGTCGGAAAAGCCTCTCTTGCAGTACAATTCGGTGCATTCAAAGCTAACAAAGCGAAGGATTACCAGGTTATGTTTTAGAAATGCCCTGTTGAAGTCATGCTGTTGCACTATGGCCGCTAGTTTTGCAAGACAAAGCAAGCGATTATCCTTGGCAGGCTACCCAGTGTTTGTGCAGGTGTCGGTAGCTGAGTGCTTGTCGAATGGTCCATGTATGCGGGGACGGCCGCAGACCAATGATGAGCCCGATGCTGGGAAAACCAGTGTGATTCCGTACGTACATCAGATTTCACACCATTTGAAAAAGATAGCCCTGAGAGGAAATGTCCGCGTGGTGTTCTCCGTTCCAGACCAACTAAGCTGTCTATGTAAGCTTACCAATTCCAAAAAGGAGGTGCAACCCACCTGGGGGAAGAAGCATGTAACTAAGTTTGTTGAATGCGCCCTAGCTATTGTGTACATGTTCCGGCTTTCGTGTGGTGTGGTTTACATTGAGCAGACTGGTAGGTGTGTTAATGTCCGCTTGCACGAGCACTCTTGCAATGGAAAAAACAAGCTTTATTTTGGTGGTTACCTGGGTATGCATTGCAAGACATGTGGATGCATTCCATTCTTTGATCAGTGTGATCCTGGGCCACAATCGTAACCAGTTGACGAGGGAAATTATTGAAGTGAACGCTATCACAAAATGTGCGAAGCTGTGTGTGAGTACGTCGTCTGTGGCCTTATCTCAAAAAGAGCTCAATTTTCTGGAGCGCGTGCTGTGAAGCATTAGTATAAATTGATAATTTGTAATCAAATAACAACTACGTTTCTTTGATAGTGTGCTGTGCCACACGTGTGTGGTTTTGTCATGTGTTTGGCGTCACAAGGAATGAGATATATAATGTGTTGTAAGGGTACGCAACAAACAAAAGTTAGAAGTTAGCACTCACATTGTCGTCTGTTTTTTCCCCTTTTTGACTCTATAGTATCTTTCCTTCACGCTCAAACTGAGCTGCACTGAAGCCATATCATTGTAAGGTTACGTCAATATCGGGTTTCCTTTGCGGAGCTTGCAAAGGTGGTCATCTAGGAGCTAATGCAAGCAGGCATCATTGTTGACTCGAACTCTGAGTATGCAAGTCCTATAGTCCTTGTGCGGAAGGACACAGACAGTCGACCGGTGGTTTGTAGAAGACCCCACCCGCGCCTTGTCGTGCTCACAGTCTGCCGTTGGCCAATTCGGTAGTCACCTTGGAGGCACATGCAGCGACACCGACTAAACTTGCACAACTGCATCTCATTTTCAACCATGCTCGCTACTCTGCCATTGTTCCTCTCCGGCTACGCGGCGCAGCCCCCGCCATAATCCATGGTAACGAGGGATAGGTTGTGGTGGTGGACACAATAGGGAAGTGGAAAAAAGACTTTCGATGGGTGCTCTAGCTGCCTATTCAGATGCCGCGGAAGCCACGGAGAGGGCATTGTTAACTCCCCCAAGACTGCCTGCTGCTTCGTGAACGTTTGAAGCAAAGACATGGGGCAAATTTTCGCTGAGACACGCTGATGACAGGTCTGTGGATGTTTTTTGCTGGTGTTTTCGGTCTCTCGTTATGTTACGCTACTATAAAATGCTGTCTTTTGAGGCGTCGTCGTCGTCAGCCTAGTATGACCATGGGATCTGGCGACTTCGTCGGCCAATGGTTTGCATCTGCCAAGTATTTTTGTGGGGGTCATGTCAGTGTCGTGTTACTCTAATGTAAACGCGCCTTGATGCGACACCAAAGTGGACCCCTGCGGCGAGCGCGGGTGTGCGACTGTGTGCGGGTTCTGAGAGAAGGCAGAAGAGGGACGGCTGTGCAACTGGAGAGATGCCATATTCTTGTCTCTCCAGCAGTTTCCTTCACTTTACCCTAAATAAATGTCGTTTTGTTAAAGTAACCGTTGCTTCTTTGCCAGTCTTTTCTCTCTTGTCTCCCAAATCATCATCATTTTGCATCTCACTCTCTACTTAAAAAGATAGTTTTCATCAGGCTGAGCTAAATAAATGCTTTTTTTGTTCCTTTCTTCCCCATTGTGAGTACAATATAGACCACTTGTAACGTAAGTCATGGGAGTCACGAATATCCGTGTTATATGCGGTACCGCACTATAACTAAAACAACCTTTTTCAAAGGCCACACTTGCCCAAAACGTGTTGAGCATGCAGCTTTGTGTGTCCGAGAATCTAAACATGCGATGCGTGCTTGCTGACATTTATATTTCTGAAATTTAAAAGAATTTAACGTCTGAAGACACGCATTGCCAATGAAATGAATGCGAAGGGGGGGGGGGGGGGGGAGTGTCTTACCAATGAAAGCACCATTGCAGAAATTTTCCAGACTACCAAACCACCCCCCCTCAATTATGCGCACTACACAGAAACTATGTCGAATCACGTCCAGAATTTCACGCATTGGAAGACGCCAACCATTCGATTCCACGGGTGCACACCTGATTTAAGACATCGCAATCGAATTGCGAACCACTATTTGAGTGCTACATGTGCTGCCCACGTTTTCATTTACGATATGTGTCCCTTTCCATATAGTGCAGCCACCGCAAAGAGTTTCGTTGATTCGTTACCAAACCGCAACTTAGATTCGCACGACCGCTTCCGATTGAAGCGCAACCAACACCGATTAGGCTTCGTTTGCCGTTTGGTATGTTGATTGATTGATTGAGATGTGGGGTTTAACGTCCCAAAACCACCACATGATTAGCCATTTGGTATGTTGTCGCGGAAAGTTTGTCCAGAACATGAAGATTTAATGTCAAAAAGATAGCACTAGCAGTAAACCAGGAAGAGCGTGCGTGATACGAAGTTCGCTTTCGTGGCCGGCAGTTTGCCAAGCTTACGTACGACAGTGCACTGGCAGCAAAAGTGAAAGGTCGTGTTGTAAAACCGTAAAAGGTTTTCAATTTACGGTTGAAGCATGACTATCACGATGTCTTTCCCGACAGGAAACTATTAAGCGCATGTAGTTGATATGGATGGGAACGCACGTTCCACATTGAGCTGCGTGAGGCTGAAGCCACACTAGCGACGTAGTACGCTGTAGCCGCGCCAGTGCCAGTGCAAAGGCTTATCAGTGACTGAGGCAGCCGTCCTCCTCCCTTACTTGGTGAGCCCGCGCAGTGTCTCTCGGTCTTTTTTCATTTTCTTTTTATTCCCTTTGTCCTTCGTTTGTTCACTCCACGTCCCCTCCTCCTTAACAAAGTGGCTGATTGGGCTGGTTGGTTTAGCATACTTACGGTTTAATAGCACGAAAAAATAATCAGCGCTTGTTTGTCCTTTGTCCGTTGTGTATTTTTTCGCACTGTTAAACCTTCAGTACCCTCCTCCTCCGTAACGACCACGTCGTTCGCTCCCCAGTGGCGCACCCACCGCGCCTCCTTTTATTTATTTATTTATTTATGATACCTTACAAGCTCAATGAGAGCATTGAGTAAGGGGGGTACAAACTTCAAAGAGTAATAGGGCGGTCATCAATAACATGGAATACACAGAAAATAACACAACATCGTGACAAAGCGTGTCTAGTCACTGACACTCAAACAAACTTTCAGAAGCGCACGTGCTACCGCGTTTGTCACAAATGATTTTGGCAACTGCATTATAACCGGTCATTCATCTTGGGGGACTGCACAGTAAGCAGTATGCGTATACATGGTGTTCTATGTAAGGGTAAACAGAAGTAGAAAAAGACCGCATTGTAAGCACTTCTGCTCTACAAGCGGTTACGTTATGAATGGTCTACACTGTATATTCGTTCAGTGTTTTCAAGCAACATATCTGGGCATACTTGGCATGTTAGCATTTTGTTTTGGGGGGCACTTCTGATAGATGAACTCCTGATAAGACGAACAAATTATCATGATTCCTTGGAATTTGTCGTAAAGGGAGTCTACTGTATTAATAGTTGAAGTAAGGCTGGCAGTTAACTCTTTTTGATTGGACATCGTGTAACTCTGCAAAACCCTGGTGTTCGTCAATTCAAGGAGGCAAAGGAGTTTGGTACAGTGTGTGTTGAGAGCACAGCACATAGATGGATATATGAGCCGATCAGTGATGCCTGCAGAAATAGTGTGCGCCAGCTATTTAAACCGTGCGCTTAAAATCAGAGTTCACAACCCTTCTCTGCTCATGCCTTTTTGTTCAGGATGGGTGGGGCGTTCCTTGCCTGCTTGAGCATTCAATGGCAGGTCTAACTTGCAGCGAGGTGTTATAGCATGCCCCTTCGAGCGGATGGTCCGCACATTCGATCGCTGTTTCAGCTGCCCTCAATGCCCCCACTCGTGCTTATTTACTCACGGGTAGAACATTCGTTGCATGGGGCGATGATAACAGTTTGAACTTCATACGGAACATGACGCCGACGCTGATGGCAAAAACTCATTGAGGGCGTCTATATAACTGCTATCACAATATAAAGGAGACATGAAAGGTGAAGCATGACATACAATGCCACAGTGCAGTATAAAGGGTGTAGTACCACCTAGCCCCATTTAACACACAATTTACTTTCAGTTATTGCTTGTTAATCTCTATGCATCTGCAGCTATTTTTGGATATGCTTAGTTTTCTTGCATGTGAAATGATTTGCATTTCAGGGTTCTTTATTAGCATGGAATGCCTCTCTTCCAGCATCTACTGGGAGTATGCCCTCAGTGTCAACATGGAAGACATTGTCTACCTCCATTGCCATCAGCAAGGTAAAGCCCCCCTCTTTTTTTCCTTCGTGTGATTTGACTGTTTCTAAACAGCAGGCCCTTACTCATCATCCTAAGCTATCATCATCATGAACCGACACGCACACTCTTCGTCCTGATTTGCTCTCTGCACATGTGTGCCAGTCTGTCCGGTGTATTAGCCCCACAAACAAACACTGGTGTCGCTGCAATCGTGCCGATGTGATGTCACAGCAAGGGCACTCCATCTTCGTTGCTGCTTGTTTCCTTTTTCTGCACCCGCCGCGCACCCGCTCTTTAGCGATAGGTTGGTGATTACTCTTCAATTGCATGATGCAAATCCCTCAAGATACAAATTGAAAGGTTTCGTAACTAGTGAAAGTCAACCGAAATTGCAAAATGTTTTATAATTTAGCATAGGATAGGCAGACTTCCGCCTGAACGAAATATTTACTGTAAAAATTGTTGTTTTCTGCCTACACCAAGAAATAAGAAAGTATGCTAACTGATGCTAGCGTTATTAAACTAGGCATAGACTCGGGGATGAGAACATATGTGTGCCGAAACATGACAAATGAAGTTAGAATGATTACAATTCACTAAACACATTGCGCTTTACCGTGCAAGTTACACCTGCATCTGCAAAGAATATAAATGATTTATAGAATTTCACTTTCTCCAACAGGAAAATTTACATGAATCTGACTGTCATAAGCTGAAATCTCACATACTTGGAAAATAAACGAAATATTACTGCCGCACGCACAGTGGTTTCGGAAACGTTGGAATATGTCGGTTTACTCAGATCATATATATGTACATGTTTCTTTTCTATAGTCGCCGGATATTGTGTAGTTGTATATCCTGATTTGCGTGAAACGTTAGGGTGATCTACCGCCGCGGCACAAACAGTAATGCTCACTTCACATGGGAGCACTGCTCATAGTAGATTCCAACACAAACGCCACAAAGTTGGAATAAACTCTTACGATGGTGAAGTCGACGACGTGGCCCAAGTACATAATAATTAAACAAGCTTCACCTTGATGAGGCAATGACTGGTCTCTTATATCACGTCCACGTAAAGGTAATCAATTGCAAGGAAAATTAATTTATGAGGTGGCTATCTAAACTGGTAGTCACGATACTGCTGCTACGATTCTGCACGAAGACAGAATCTGAGAGCAATGAACATTTTCGCACATAACCTCAATAGATTTCGTGAAATGAAGCTCCAAAATTATTGCGAGAGAAACATCCAACTAAACAACGAGTTGAGTGAGCAGCTACAAGAGAAAAACAGACAAACGGTGGCGGTAGTATTCCAGGCCAAGCGCTTTCGAGATACAGTCGAATATCATTATTTCGAACACGCCTAATTTGAACTTCCGATTAATTGGAAGTCACGATGAGGTCCCACTAAAGCTGCGTGTGTTGCAATTGGTGAAAACGCCCAGTAATTAGAACGCCCAAGCACTTATGAGGATTAATTCGAACATACCGCGCTCCGAAAATGCTCTCAGCACCCCGCCCAAACCCGCCGCGGCACCTGCGACACCTCAACGCTGCCCGCGAAGGAAATGAAAAGGAAAGAAAAGGCTGCGGTGGAATGTTTGCTCTCTCTCAAATGCCGATCGGCGATGCGCCCATGTCAAGCTTCTCCCTTTTCCGTCCCTGCCACCTAAAGATGCTCCTCCTTCCAACGCCGCGCATGAAGAGAGAGAGAGAAAAAAAAAAAAGCTGTTGCTGGGTGGAATAATAGTGTGGTTTTCCGTCCCTGCCACCTAAAGACCCTCCTCCTTCTAACGCCGCGCGCGAAGAGAGAAAAAAAAAAAAGCTGCTGTGGAGTGTTGGTTTTCTCTGAAATGGCGATCTGCTTCTTTCCGCGGGGAGACGCTTCTCCTATCTTGTCACGTGCTAGCCATGCTGCGGCTGCGAAACGGAGAGTGGGAGGCTCTGCTACGCAGCAGTTGTTGTTGTCGTTGTCTTTAAAAAGTGTCGGTGCTGGACATTTTCGCGCGCAAATTCAGGAGAATGCTGAAGCCAAAGTAGAAATGCTTTGCAAGTTGCGTGCAAGATTGATTGACTCGCTGCAAGGCAAACGTGTGCAGACGCGCATCCCCGATTACTTCAATTAATAACGGATGTCCTGTGATTTGTGAATAAATGTAAGTCTTCTTAACTCCTCCCTCATGTGTTAGCTCAATGCACATGCGCTACTGCATGGAGAGCCCTCCGTTTATTTAGCTTTCATTAATTCAAACTTCTTTTAATTCGAACAAATTTTCGGGCTCCTCTGAGTTCGAATTATCGAGGTTCAACTGTATTTTGCTAGACTCAATAATGCGCGTGAGCGTGGGGCCTTGCAATGTCTGTAGATACGTGCATTTTTCTGATACAAATAAACCCTCATATTTTCTATAGGAATTACCCATGTAAATGTTGTGTTTTGCGCCACAAAATCACATGATTATGCATCAGTATCCAAGCAGAAGTCTGTTCTTGCTTTTCACACCCGTCGGAATGCGGCTGTCATGGCCAGGAATGGAATTCATCATCGGGGTTGACAGTGCAACTCAGACCTTTTAACCCCTTTCACATTGCCTATGACCGAGCGTCTGATTGTGCACAACAAAAGTAAACATTTATTGTTTTACCAGGAACATCACTGATTCTGCTTTCGTCATTACTCTAGAGTTCAGACGAGCAGAAAGCGAATGCAAACAGTGGAACAGCGCACGAAGCGAGCGCATCATTATGTAGGCGCATGGCGGTGGGCACCGAGAAGTCTGTTCTGTGATACATATATATATATATAATTAAGAAATTAAGAAATAATTTTGACGAAGGCCAAAATCCAGCGAAGACTGTTCTTGTGATTGCTATCACAATGAAAAAAAACAAAGCTAAACGTCGTCAGGGCCACACCATGCACGCGTAAACTATGCACGTGCGCATGGTGTCCAAAACGAAGAGCGAACGACATGGACACAGACACTGCAAAAAACTGTTTGGTAAAGCGCCCTTCATAGGCAATGCGGCCTCACATATGTGACGCTAACTAAAAGCTTGGCACTTCCAATGCGCAAAAGTAGTTTTCTGGTTTGTTTTTTTTTTGGTTTGGAGGGGAAGGCGGAGCACACCCGCAATGGCGAGAACGGCGGCAATGCTGGCTCGTGGGGTGCAGGCCCACCTGCCCACACCCGCATGAGGGGGATGGTGAGAGCGAGCGCTCGCTCTCACCTGGTGCGCCGTGCGTGTCGCCGCCACTTTGCGCTTTGTGGACAGCGGGGCAGCCGCGGAAGATGCACGCTCGTACCAAAATGCCAAAATGCACAGCAAAATTCTTAGATTGTCCGTGCGGAAAGTTCGTTATATTGTCACGGGGTCGTGACGTGGCCGAAGACAGGAGACTTCGTGTTAGGATTTAACTGTTTATTTGGGCGAACCTGTGCCGATAAACTGAAAGTCCAATTACAGCAGCAGTCTCGCACAGATAGCAGTCTCGGACTGATAGCGGCGAACGGAGCGTCGGCCTTCGATCAACAACTGACAAGCGGCGAAGCGCGTCGGCATTTATACTCTTGCCGTCGAATGTTCTAGCGTTATCGCTGGCGGTGGCGTAGCTTCCAGAACAATCTGTACCGTTCGCACAGTGGGCGTGATCTTATCGAAATGATCTACTACAGTCCGGAACCTTCTAGAAAACTGCAGGCGCGGTTTGCGCTGAGAATCGTGCGGTGTTTTCGGACGATAACAAAAACTTGGGAAATGGAACGTGGCATTGCCCCCCTCTGAAAAAAGGCATCGTCCCGATGCTTTAACTAAAGATGAAAGTACAATAATAATGCAAGAAAGTACAATGAATAAATACGATACAACAATAATACAAAAAAAAACACTAGTTCAGTTTGTTAACGCGCATGAAACGGCTTGAGGCGCGCGACATGTACTACTTCAGGTCGCGACCGCTGTTACTTTGTTACATAGAGGTTGAAAATACACGTGCTTCTATGGAGCAATGGCGGGGAATAGAAAAACTTCGTTATATTGAGGAATTTGTTATATGGAGGTTCCTTATAAGCAGGTTTAACTGTACATATTTTCTTGACATGCTGGGTTTGGTTGCCCAAAATGCTTTAACGGGAGAAAAAAATGTGAAAATACAAGGGCTCATTTTTCTTTGTTAGACACAGTATCAATGAGAACTAACAGACAATAGTGCCAAAGAAAGAATGCAGGGTGTTTGTAGTAAATGTGATGTAAATGTGAAGGAAGAGAAGTGGACGAAAAGATGACTTGTCATGGGCAGGCACCAAATTTGTCACCTTTGAATAACGCGTCCGATGCTCTACCAGTTAAGCTGCGGTGACAGTTACAGCAGGCGCAGGTCTGATTTGGACTTCCTCCTTTACTGCCCCTGAGCAGGTGACTCTGGGGGCACCCTGGTGTTGGTGGGGCAGGACGGAGTGCAGCGCCCGCCCATGCACTTTCCTCGGGGGGGCCACCTGCTGGCCTTTTTGTCCTGCCTCGAGAACGGCCTGCTTCCTAACGGCCAGCTGGACCCGCCTCTGTGGACACAGCAGAGCGGCACAGGTGAGTCACTGCCAGTACAGCTGTGCATACTGTTCTTCTTGCCAATTTAATGCAAGCTTCAGCTACACACAGATCATATGAAGTGATAGCTGCACCAATTCTGCCAAAACCTCCTACCACAGACTTTCCTTCAATATTTACTTCAGGAAACTCCAGCATAGCGATCGCGCAGCCACAGTGGCAATGATGGATAGTACACGGGTTTGCCTATTGTTCATGCTTGAGACTTCGAACACATTTGCGACTTCATTTATTGTTGTATTTAGGAATTTGTTTTCGATAAAAGAATTCATCACTGTGGACTTCATGAGCCGATTTGAATCGATGAGCCGGAGAAGGTTAAAAGAACTGTCTGCCACTCGGAAAACTTTTTGTTTTTGGCAAAAATGAAAAGCTAGTTCATCACATTAACGGCAAAGAGCGTGCTTTTGTCCCATCAGAAATAAATCACAATCCTAATGTGATGTTGAAAATTGACGAAAATGACCGCTGGTGTCACCCATCAACGACGTGGTCAATCTACTGGTAGGACAAGAAATCCTCACTGGTTGACTTTTGTATGTATAACTTGTATGTAAAACATGTATAACTTCAAATCATATTTTATGCACTTGAAACGGCTTTAGGTTGCACCAGAGAGCATTATATGCATTTTTTCTCACGCGTTTTAAGAGGTGCCTGTTGAAGTCGTCAGGGACGAGTGAGAAGGCAGGAGGCTGAGTTACGTGGACACAGGTTTATTCCAAACGCTATTCAAGCCTAGGAGCCCTGTCAAGCGCCACGCACACCTCGAGCGCAAGCTGTCACCAGCTTCGCCTGGCTTTTTCTAGATGTCAGCATCTAATACATCTCCCAATGCAATCAAGTGAAGTTCACTGCAGCAGGCGGCTTCGCACACCTGCCACTTCTGTTATGCCCGTGGGAAGTGTCCTGCAACGCGAGGGAGTGTCTATAGCCCAGTCACTGGTACTGGCACTATCTGCATTGTTGTGACTTCGGGAGTATAGAACTAGCTGTGTCCGGTTTCTACGTACAGCACCAGTATTGTGTTGACCCAATAAGATCGAGGCTCGTCGGCTGGGGCTCGTATTGTCCCTTTGCTCTTGAGGTCTGTCACTCACACGGCATCTCGATAAAGAAGTTCCGGGAAGTCGCGGACTCCGTGACGTTTGTCGAAGTCTTTCCTTTGACGGTTTCTGTATCTATCCTCAAAATTCCGAAGGCTGTCTTAATCTGGAAATTGGGGTGTCAGCTTGGTGGAACACAGACGAAGCCTGGATCTCAGCCGACGACCCATGAACAGTTCGGCAGGGCCATATCCACTCTTAAAAGGAGTCGGCCTGTAACCTAGAAGTGTCAGGTAAGGGTCGTTGGCCTTCGTCATGGATGTCTTGATGATTTTCACTGCAGCCTCTGCAAGTCCATTTTTCTGAGGATAGTAAGGACTAGCTGTAATATGCTTGAAACCATAGTCTTGGGCGAAGAGTGACAACTTAGTCGAAGAAAACTGCAGGCTATTGTCGAAACCACTTCCTCGAGAATTCCGTGGCGTGCTAAAATTGACTTGCAGTGGTGGACCATGGCTGCAGAAGGGAGCTTCTCACTTCGAACTAGTTCGAGGTATCTTGAATAATAGTCTTGTAGCTATCAACCACCACTGGTTCTTGAAGTGAAACAAATGCATCGCAATGCCAAGGCCTCTCAGGGAATTCGGAGCTTATTAGTGGCATTTTCCTGTTGACTGTTGTTCGATGCATTGCTGACATCGCTTCATCAGAGAAGAGACCTCAGATCCTATGGTGGGCCACCAGACACAGTCTCTGGCTCGAGCAATAGCTTTGTTATGCCAAAGTGTTCTTCGTGCTAGAGTCGTAGGATTTCTTTTTGGCATCAGTCCGGGAAGACAACTCACGAGGCCTAGAGGAGTAAATCATTCTCGACAGTGAGCTGGTGTCGGTGGTCGTAAAAGGGTTTTAGGTTAAGTCTAAGTCTCACATGGAGGAACATTTTTTCTCGCATAGCAGACGAAGTTGTGTGCAAATAGGGTCTGCTTGTTGGCATGCCTTTAATCATTGGAAGCAATGTTGCGTTATCAGAATAGGGGTTGTCATAGAGCACAGGAAAACTTCAACGCTTTCTTCGAGCTCGCTGTCTCCGGTCTCTCGCAGAGGTGCACTCGAAAGTGCATCTGTGGCTAGAAGTTCTTTGCTTGCAACATATACAACCTCATATCGATATCGCATCATTTTCATCTTTAACCTCTGTAATCAAGTTGTCAAGTCGTCAAGACTCTTCGAAGTGAAGATTGGAACCAACGGCTTGTGATGCGTCTCTAGCTTGAACAGCTTGCCAACAAGGTAATCGCTGAATTTATCGCATGCCCAGACAAAAGCAAGAGCCTCTTTTTTAATCTGAGCGTAGCGCTTCTTGGTTTCTGAGAGCGACCTCGAGGCATAAACAATGATAGAAAACTTGCCATTCGTTTGCTTCTGCTGGATTAATGCTTCCCACTCCGAAGGATGGTCCGTCAGCGGTGACGACAATTTCTTTTGATGGGTCGTAGACTCCAAGGACAGGACGAGATGAAAGCACCGACTTCCACGTGTTGAATGCCTGCTCTTGTGGAGAACCCCAAACAAATTCTTGCTTTTTTGACAACAAGAGTGTGATGGCTGCAGAATATCAGAGAGATTCAAAACGAATCTCGCAAGGTATGTTGCCATTCCGAGAACTCTCTGCAGCTCGGTCCTGTTTCTGGGACTCTCCATTTTCAGTATGGCTTCAAACTTTCTTTCGTCGGGTCTTATTCCATCTTCATCGAGCCAGTGTCCAAGGAATTTAAGACATTGAACATTAAACATGCACTTGCTGTCATTCAGTGTCACTCCAGCCCTTGCAAGTGCCTCCATGACAATGCGACAGTACAGCTTGACAATGCGATTACTGCTGTTACCACACGCTTGATATGTGCCTATATACTGACTGCACGAAATGTATTCTAGAAGAATTTTTTCGTGGGCAAGTTTGTGTGTAATAAGCATGTTACCGTATTTACTCAATTCTACCGTGCCCTCGATTGTAACGCGCACCTGGTTTCCACGACGAAAAAAAAAGTAAGACATCGATTGCAATGCACACCCATTTTTCTCGTTGGCCCGCACGATCACACCACTCGGGAAAACGACTCCTTTCGGGAGCGTCTTCCGTTTAAATATGAGGTACGGGGGAAGCTTGTGCCTATCTGACGTGTAACGGAGCATTGCCGTCACTCTAGTTTTACCGTGGCCCGATGTCAGCACGCGAACTTGCTTCGCCCCCTTCTTCTCGCCAGTTGTGGTGCCAGGCATGTCGAAGTAAAGAGGGTTGATCGGCATTCCCGATTTGCCCAAGCAGGTAGCCGTTGTTGTGCCGCAAGTTTAGGATGAACCTTTGAAAACTGTGAAGCTTTTCTTCGTACTCCTCCGGCAACTTTTGGCATATGCCCGTTCACCTTCTGAGGGAAAAGCCTTTCCTCTTCGTAAAGTTAATTAGCCAGCACCTGCTCGCTTTAAACTGGCTCGGCGTTAGCCCTTTTTCTAAAGCTAACTGCATAGCCTGCACTTGGAGCAGTTCTGTCGTCACGGGCCGCTGTGCCGCTCACTGCTCAATCTCATACTCGCCGAGCAGCTCTTCAATTTGCGGAAACCAACGCTGCTGTGGTCCACTGAAGCCTTTACGTGAATCTTTGCTGTCGACAATATTCTGCTTTTGTTTCCGCCAGTCCCGCACGCACATTTCGGGAACTCCGAACGACCGCGATGCGGCCCGATTTCCGTCTGTTTCGGCACACGCGATGACTTTTCTTTTAAAAGCGGCATCGTGGTGCACTCGTCGAGTTTTTGGAGTAGGCCCTTCCATGCTGTGGATGCTAATGCACTACCAGATGACGAACTCCTCAGCACACGTACGATGTGCCGCACATGAGAAACACAGGCACAAATGGCCGACGCGCCATGCTGACGCACGTAGGGGGCGGCCATTTTGGAAATGCCGATGGCAATAGAATGACCGTATTCATTTTTTTTTCGTACTCGATTCTAATGCGCATGCGATTTATGAACTCGCTTACCGTAAAAAAGGTGCGCGTTAGATTCGAGTAATTACGGTACCTATGGTGCAAAGCGTGATACATGAAGACAGAAACGAAGAGACAGGTGAGCTCATCTGTATCTTCTTTACGGTCTCACCTTTAAACCTTGTTAACATTTTGCGATTTTGCATAAATGGGCCATGTGGAAGCGCCATAGCGATTGCTCTTTTGCACAGGCAAGGTGTTTCCACGGTTACGTCGTCGCAGGGCAGCTCAAGGGGAAGAGGAAGAAGGCAGCACTGACTTCGTCTTTCGAGTTATCACTTCACTGCGGCCGCACTCCCTGGGTGAGCCCCACTTTGTGATGGGGAATTCTTTTCCTGGTGTATAGAGCTATACATATTTCGTGGTTTTGTAATGGGTTGGCAGATGGCTTGGTTGATGACTCAGAAATCTCACAGGGATGTAGAGAAATCAAGAACCAGCCTTGCAGTAATAAGTGTTGCATCATTTTTTGTGTCAGTCTGTGATGGATTATGCAGCCGAGCTTTCTAAGTGTGTTGCACGATCCAAAATGCACACCAAATGCAATAATAATCCTCTTACACATTTCTCGAAGTTACAAAAAAGAAAAAAAACAAAGACTTTGTTATAAGCGTGTCAATGCTGTCCTGAGCAACAAAAGGGTGTGTATCAGAGGCTTGTGCCTCCTTTTGCGGAAAGCAGGAATAAACAGAGTTATCCTAACTACATGCTGCCATTGCATTGGTGCCGTGAATGTCATATAGGGTAACTTCAGAAATTGACCACAGCAAGTCAAAAGCCAAGCATTCCTAGCGCACGCTAGTCTCCACAGTGGTCATGAGCAAGTCAGCTTGGAGCACCAGTGCAAAGCTGTTGCAATATGTAGAAGCAGCTCCGTGTGCTCGGCCTGTAAAAGGAAGGATGAGCACGCGCCTCTAGACTGGCCGTGCTATGATGTGAAGCCAAACAGTCACAGTGCGTGATTGGGCAGCTGCAGATGCTTGGTTCATCCGTGCAGAGGACCTCCTGGAAGGTGGCCCCGTTGCTGTAGCGACCACAGAAGCGGCTCGTGCCAATCGCCTGCTAGAGGCTCGCTCTTCATCCTCCCGCTCGAGTGAGTCACCGCCACCCGAGGAGGAGTCACCTGGACCAAGGGCACAGGGGTCAGTGTGGGCCACACCTCTTGCTGGTCGGGTTCGTCTTCCGGGCAAAAGGATTTCACCATTACTTCTGCTTTAGCACATTTCCATAAAAGTCTTCAATGATCCGCCTTGTTTAAAGCAATTCCTGGCTTTTAAGCAAACTGTTACTAGTGTACAATATAATATCAGGGTGAAATGTTGTTAGTCAGACTTGCGTAAATCCTTCACTCCAGATGTTGTGCCAGATATCGACACGCTTTTTTTTAAAAGCTAGCTCTTTACTTGCCTGAAGAAGATACTATGGGGAATTGACTTATTTTCAAAGTTGTTTTGTGCAAAAGCTCAAGTTTGACATTTTATACGATTTTAGCAGCATAGAAAGCACAGGCTCTTGCTCCCATTCAGATTCGCCTTACACTTGATGCAAGCATCGTATATTCTCTTCTTCGAGGGAGTTGTTGTGATGTTCTCAAGTGTAACCTCGACGGGGAGGCATGCAATTGATGTTTGGCTGTGCCACGTTTTACATCTGGGCGTGAGCTGAAGTTGTTCTATTCTGTAAGTGCACGGACAAACTTGGCGAGGCCAGTTGCCACTTTTGCAGGTAGTCTAGGCTGCACATATTACTCTGGGACCAATGAGTGAGAAACCTCTCAGCACGGTTGCCTATATGGTTACTGCTTATTAATTTGCGTACCAAGACAATGGATAAGGTGAAGAATGGTTAGATTTACATTTAGAATTTATTTATTTAGTTATTGACACTGTTAGCCAATGGTCGATGCAGGGTGGAGTAATGGAATGCACTACACACATCACAATAAAATCAAGGAGGACAACTCATCTGGCAGTCTGAAAAAAATTACACCATACAGAGCATACTAACCATAAATTGAATCGAAGGACACGTGCAAGCAACGTACAATGCATAAGTTAATTTAAGTTTTACACAATAGTGACCAATGATGAGCGTATCGTGATGTAAACTGAAAATGTTACAGTCAACCAAAGCTGTACCATATGCATCAAATAATTCAATATTATAGTCAGGAAATTTTTTTGCGTCACGTACAGTTATTTGCAATGTCAATGCACACATGCCACTTATCATTGGTTAAAAAAAGGTAACAATGTTGAAATATGGTTATACTGAAAGAGTAATATCCAAGAATCTTCAGTGAAGAAGTATGAACACCATGCTCTAAAGTAAATGCACCCACTGAAAATGAAGGGCATTTGGTGTGCTTTGCTGCCCAAAATGTGCAGTTTTAACTAGTGCTTTGATTGGACGAAAAGTGATGCATGAGAAGACTCGAGTGCCATGCCAGGAAGTGTTAGTGCATACAGGACGGTTTTGAAGAAGTGAAGAACCTTTTTGTGGCCCAAGTGAGCTGTATGGTACAAATGTGCAACAGTAGCGCATTTAAGAAGGCCAAAGTCATAAACCACTAGGGCTTCACAGTAAACAACAGGCGAGCAACATGTTTACATATGCGAGGTTATGTAAAATTACTGGTACATTCTAAATAGCAAATACTTGTAGACAAAGTATTAGTAGTGCTTGCTGGTTGGGAACGAATACTCAAACAGGGGTAAAGAAGCACAGGACGCAGATAAGCGAGCCTGTTTTTCTTTGTCCTGGTCCAAGAATTTGCGCCGTGAGCTCAGCTCAAGGCTTTTAGGCACAGACAAAGTAGGCAGAAGAGTGTGGATTTTCTGCAATGTCACAGCAAGTGTGCAGAATGCACCAAAGCCATGTGCTTTTCTTGCAGGCAATCACTGCAGCTTTTGTGTGACACCATGAAGAAACAGATCATCTCAAGGGCTTTCTATGGATGTGAGTACTACTAGAGAGATGTGCTTTATGGAAGCTTCGCCACTTCACATCATATGTATGGTAGTGAGACCTTTGGTCAGAGCTAATGAATGGCTGTGGGGTCTGTCAAGTAACACTAGGACGACTCACAATGAAGCCTGTGAGGCATCCATTAAAAGAACATTCGTTGGCATTGTTTTCAAAGCCTTTGCTTGTCATTGTTGCATAACGACGTCAGTCTTACGCGCTCTGAAAGAACGGAGACGTTGACGATTTCGTGTCAGCTGGGAACAACCCACAAAGCACTTATTGCACGCATGTATATAACGACATACCGTATTTACTCGATTCTATCGCGCCCTCGATTGTAACGCACACCCGATTTCCACCGCGAAAAAAAAAAAAAAAAACGTAAGACATCGATTGCAACGCGCACCCATTTTTTTCGCTGGCCCGCACGATCACACCACTCGAAAAAACGATTCCTTTCGGGATTGTCTTCCATCTAAATATGAGGTACGGGCGAAGCTTGTGCCCATCTGACGTGTAACAGAGCATTGCCGTCACTGTAGTTTTACCGTGGACCGATGTCAGCACGCGAAATTGCTTCGCCCCCTTCTTCTCGACGGTTGTGGTGCCAGACATGTCGAAGTAAAGAGGCGCGTCTGATCGGCATTCCAGATTTGCCCAAGCAGGTAGCCGTTGTTGCGCCGCAAGTTTAGGACGAACCTTTGAAAACTGTAAAGCTTTTCATCGTACTTCTCCGCAAAAGTTTTCGCATATGCATGTTCCCCTTCGAAGGGAAGAGCCTTTCCTCTTCATATAGTTAATTAGCCAGCACCTGCTCGCTTTAAACTGGCTCCGCATTACACTTTTTTCTAAGACTAATTGCATAGCCCGCACTTGGAGCAGTTCTGTCGTCACGGGCCGCTGTGCCGCTCGCTCCTCAAGCACATACTCGCGGAGCAGCTCTTTAATTTGCGGAAACCGACCCTGCTGTGGTTCACTGAAGCCTTTGCGTGAAGCTTTGCTGTCGACAATCTTCTGCTTTTGTTTCCGCCGGTCCCGCACGCACGTTTCGGGAACGACCGCGATGCGGCCCGACTTCCGTCCGTTTCTGCACACGCGATGACTTTTCTTTTAAAAGCGGCATCGTGGTGCACTCGAGTTTTTGGAGTCGGCCCTTTCACGTCGTCGATGCTAATGCACTACTAGATGACGAACTCATCAGCACACGTACGAAGTGCCGCACATGGTAAACACATAGGCAGAAATAGCCGACGCACCATGCCGACGCACGTAGGAGGCGGCCATTTTGGATTTGCGATGGCAATAGATTGACCGTAATTTTTTGTTCGTACTCGATTCTAACGCGCATGCGATTTTTGAACTCGCTTAACCGGAAAAAAGGTGCGCGTTAGATTCGAGTAATTACGGTAGTTTGATACCGTATTTGCAACATTTCGTCCTTCCTAATTATGAAGAACTGCCTTGCGTACTCTTGTAAAGTGGCGGAGGGGTTGTGTGGTTTGTTGATCTGTCCTGGGTGGAACGGGCGTTGAGACAGCAGCAGGCGCATGCTGGTCATTGTCTGGAAGCATCTCCTGAGGCGAAGCTTTCGCGGCGGCATCGGGGCTCGCGGATAGCTGCGGGTTGAGGGGCGTTGCGGTCAGGGTATTGTCCTTGCTGTTAGTGTCGGGTTAGTCCAAGGTGGTTCGCCTTGCGAAGATGCCGTACGAGGACGAACTTGATCGATGTGCTGCCGAACGCTTGCTTGCGGAGTTTCCACTGTGACCGTTCGTCCGCCCGATGTAGCTGTTACTCTCTTTGGTATCCATTTACCATTGGGTCCGTAGTTGCGTACATGCACATCACAGTTCACTGGGGGCAACAACTCATCACTTTCCTCGTTTGCATTGGGGCCCGCCGACGCAGGAAAGCAGGTGTCCAGTCGTGACCGTATCTGGTGCCCCAGCAACATTTCAGCTAGATACTTTCCAGTTTTTTGTGGAGTCCTCCAGTAATTGAGCAGCAAATGGGTGAGGTTATGCTCGAGCGTCCCGCCTTTCATCTTGCGCAGTCTGTCCTTGATCGTCCTGACTGCCCTCTCCGCCGCCCCATTTGACTGCGGATGAAAAGGGGCGGTTCTTAGGTGTGTAATGTTGTTTCTGTCAACAAAAATGACAAACTCGTTACTAGTGGAATGGTTTCCATTGCTAGACACCAGGGTTCTTGGCACCCCAAAATAGCTAAATATGTCACGCAGGCAATTAATGGTGGTCACCAAAGTAGCATGCTTCAGTGGCACTGCTTCTATTCATTTCGTGCGAGAATCGACTGCCACAAAAATTATTCGCCTTCCATTGGCCCTGCAAAGTCGACGTGCACCTGCGACCATCTTTCTTGTGTTTTCGGCCAGTTTAAAGGCGGAGCCACTGGAGGCTTAGGCAAATTTCGATTGCAACTGTTACATTTGGCTGCCATTAACTTTATGTCACGGTCCATTCCAGGCCACCAAAACAATGATCGCGCCTCTGTTTTCATTGCCGAAGAGCCTCGGTACGTCTCATGCAGTAATTGTAACAAACACTTCTATGCTGCGACAGGTATGATGACACAATGTCCCCAGTAGACGAGTTCATGTGCCAGAGATAGCTCCAACTGATGGTCAGCAAAAGGAACTGAGGAAGGGTCAAGCCGTCCTGTGCCTTTTGGTCATCCGTACAACACGTATTTTTTTGCACGAGCTAAGATTGAGTTATTGGGGGTTAGGTCCTTAAGCTCGCGCGTTGTGACTGTCGCTTCATCCAGACTTAAAAAAAAAATACGTAATCTTCAGGTACAGGATCCGTAGCGGTATCTGTGCACTGCAGTGGCAGTCTGCTCAGCGCATCCGCATTCAGTAGCTGCCTTCCTGGAGCATTTTGTAGCTTGTCGCGGTAACCTCCCAGGTACAGAGCCCACCGTTGGATGCGAGCTGCAGGCATGGCAGGCGTCTGGCGCTCGGGTCGCAGCAGTCCCAGAAGTGGCTGGTGGTCGGTAACCGAGACGAATTCTCGACCTAAGAGATTATCCCGAAATTTAGTGACTCCAAAAACTAGTGCCAGCGCTTTTCGTTCTAATTGAGAATAATTCCTTTCCGCTTTTGTCAGAGTTCTTGACTGGAATCCGACTGGCCTGTTAGTGCCTCCAATTGTGTGAAAAAGAACGGCGCCTATACCGCAAGTGGATGCGTCGCATTCTAAGTTGAGTTGTCTCATGGGTTAAAATGCACCAATACCTCGGCGTCTTTAAGACATTGCTTTGCCTTGCGAAATTCAGATTCCTCAGAAGACTTCCACTGCCATCGCGCGTTTTTTTCCAACAGTTGGTGCAATGGAAACAATGTGTTGGACATGTTCGGCAAAAACTTAGAATAAAATGTTATCATTCCAAGAAACGAACGTAGCTCGTTTAGGTTTTCGGGACTGGGCGCATTTACGATAGCCTCTACATTCTCCTCAGTTGAATGAAGGCCAGCTTGATCAATACGATGCCCAAGATAAGTGACCGATGGCTGGCTTAACTTGCGCTTATCATACCTGAGCTTCACGCCATGCTCTCGTAACCGTTCCAGCACATTTTGTAATCTCACTCCGCAATCGCCCACTGTTTCAGAGACCAGAACCTCATTCAAGTAAGCCTGAACGGCAGGTAGGCCAGACAGTATCGTGTCAACTTTTCTTTGAAAGATCGCTGGAGCGGAAGAAATGCCGAAAGGAAGCCTATTGTAACTGAACAGGCCTTTATGAGTATTAATAACGCAAAGCTTCTGAGAGTCCTCATCCAGAACCACCTGATTATGTGCATCCTGCAAGTCGAGCGTACTGAACAACTGGCCTCCTCCTAATGAGGCAAAAATATCTTGAATTACTGGAAGGGGGTACTGCTCCCGGGCACAAGCAGGATTGAGAGTGGCTTTAATGTCTACACATATTCTGACCGAGCCATCTGTCTTCAGAATGGGCACAATAGCTGTTGCCCGACTAGAATGCTTGACTGATGATATTATACCTAGTGACGTTAACTGGTTCAGTTCTTACGACACTTTGTCACGCAAAGCATATAGAATGGGTCTCGCCTTACAGAATTTAAAACAGCATCATCCTTCAACAGGAGGCTGGCTGGTGGTCCCTTAATCAACCCCAAGGTTTCCAAAAAAACATTCTCTAAGGTGTTGCGTAGGGCATTGACGTTGGGGTTGTCCGCATGAACAGCCATCGCCTCGCCTTCCTGTGCCACTCGCAGTACTGGGGCGCCAGCTTGTCCCAGAAGTTTGAGCAGGTCACGGCCACACAAGCTTAGTCCAGGGCAATCTAGAACCACAAGCAAGCAATCAACAGAAACGTCGCGGTAACTCACACGAAGTTGTAACTCGCCCATCACCGACAACCTTCCACTGTAGTAGGATAGCTTGACGTGCGAAGGCTTCAAAGTGGGCCAGCATTTGCAATGTTTCTCTCAAAAAGCTGTCGTGATATGACACAAACTGGTGAACCTGTGTCAACTTCCATTGATAAGTTCATGCCTCCCCAACTAAACGTTTGTTTTAGCGGCGGCTCAAGTGAATTCTTCCGCGCTGACGCTAGCGTCCAGATTTGAACACTATCCCTGGTGTCTTCTTCTGAAGTAGCCTCCTCTACGGCTAAAGCTTTCGCGTGAGGGACATACCGACGGGCGGCAGCATCTTTATTAATGCGACTGCCACACGCTTTAGCCAGGTGCCCCCTTAAGCTGCAAGCGTGGCATCATGCATTTTTCCATCTGCAGCTATTGCTGCCTAGTACTGCCACACCTACTACACTTCAATTGCTCTGAACTACCGATGCTTGATCGCGATTGTAGCTTGTGACTCGCTTCCACATTAAAAACAGGTGGTACGTCCACCGACATTGTCCTGGCGTCTTTTTCGGCAGTTTCAGCAGCCATCGCTATCAACTCAGCATCCTCGAGAGATAAATTTGTCTTTGCCAGAAGTTGCCTCTGAACAGCACTTGAACGTATGCCGTAGACAATCCGGTCACGAAATAGGCTGTTCAGAGAGCTTCCGAAATTGCAATTGTCTGCGATGCGTCGGATTGCGACGACAAAATCCTGAATGGATTCCCGCTCCTGTTGGCAGCGGTTGAAAAACTGGAAACTTTCAGCGATTTCATTAGGCTTTGGGTCGTAGTGGTCATTCAACACCTTGACTACGTTGTTATATCTCAAGGTGTTCGGCTTTGCGGGTGCTATCTTTCCCAGCAGGATTTGTATCGTCGATGTGCTAAGTGCAGCTACTAGAAGTGCCCTCTTCTTTGCGCAATCCGAAATAGCATTCGCTTCAAAATACGCCTCAACTTTGATGAGGTACGGCCATCTGCTTATCTGTGGTGTCGTCTAAGTTGGGAAGCAGGTAGGAGGCCATCGTTGTCAGCGGTACGGCTGTCACTGAATGCTTAGCTTCGAGTTCCTGCTTGACAGCGTGGATGTTTCTTGGCTTGTCGCCACTGCTGCATAGTGGCGTCAGTCTGACGCCGCTCTGAGAGAACGGAGACGTTGACGTTTCCGTGTCAGCCGGGAACGACCCAGAAATCGTTTATTGCACGCATGTATATAAGCAAAAGTGGGAAGGGAAAGGTAAGAATGAATACAATCATAAAAAGCTTGGCGTATGCGCAATGACAATTCGCGCATGACGCCGTAGCTTGATACCGTATTTATAACAGTCATCAGCACTATTTTTGCATTTTATGATGCCTCATTTAAGCATACATTCAGAGGAATCCTTTCAGGCACACATATGCTGAGGAATCCATTTTGAAGGTTCAAGATTACTAACTGCCTCGGCTTCACGCTTTTGCTATAAGACAAAGCGAGTGTGCAGCATGTGTGCCACATGTCTATTGCTTATGGGAAGATGCGAGTCAAAAAATACAAGTTTTTCCAGACTTACATATTTTTAGTTTTTATTTGCTTTTGCAGGTTTATTTCTCTACTTTCACTCCAAAAATTATTGAAGATTGTAACTAATCTCCAAAATTTTAAAGAGCACAAGGTGGCTACTAAAAACTAAAAAAAGGTCATTATGTAGAGTTTCCTGGATATTGTTGCCTGGCTGCTTGCCATTGCATTGCACTTAAAGAGTTCGCTAAAACCACATGCTCAAAATGACGACAATTGCCAAGCTCTTATGATGGTAGCAACCATCTTAAAAAACATATCTTTTTTGCATAGATGAGCTTGCACTTATACCTTTAAAATGCATTTTTCTCAAGATCTATTTTTGGGGAACTTGTTGACATTTGTTGACATTTGTTGAACTTGTTGACATCGTGTTTTAGTACTTCTGATAGCCTGATAGGGATGAAATTTTGCCCAAATATTCTTTAACATGTGAAGGGTGCATGTATCTCCTATAAAACTTGATATCGGCTGTACAAATATTACAAACCTAAAGCAAACAGTTAGTATGAGCTGAGTATTCACAGAATTCTCACAATACAATTTTTGTTGTCCATTACATTCTCTTATAAGCACTTTTTGATGCTTATTTGCATTCTACTTAAAACCATAAAAGTTTAGTGGCATAAAGTGTTTTTCTTAAATGAACTATACTTTATGCATTGTCATGGCATAAAAAGAAAACTCTGCAACTTACTACAAAACTAATTACATATATGAAATCAGCATAAAAGCCTATATATACAGCAAAAAGTTTGCGTTCCTATGCTACATATTAACACAACTTTTTTTCAAAATCGCATCTTCCTTAAGGGGTCAGGAATTGCCCCTCAGGGGGGCCTGGTGAGAAAACACATCCTGCCAGTAGCGGATGCTTCTCCGAACAGCTCAGCTGAATCTTGCAGTTCTATGAGGCAGAAATAGTTCAGTATTGGAGTGAAGAGTTGCCATTTCCTCTGGTACTTTCTCTTCATGCAGAGTCCTCGCTTGGATGCACATAGAAGACGCATCTATTGCTTATACACTCTGGACATTGATGCCAAGATGCTCCCTCAAACTATGACGGCATTCTAGGCAGGAAGACCTTGCTGGACTAGCTTGGTGAAAAGCGCCTGCAGATGAAAGGGTTGCAACAGCTGGACAACCTGATTGGCTACCTTCCGCAAGCTGGTGGGAAAGGAGTTCCTTGGCCTGTACATGGAGTGGCGAGAGAAGATTCACAAAATGAAGAGTCAGCTTGAAAAGCTCATGACAATAGAACAAGGCAGAATTGACAAGTACAGTCGAGCCCGCTTGTAACGAACCTGAGTGTGACGTGGCATCCATTCGCTGCATCCTGAAGTTTGTAGTAAATGAAACACAGTTTTTAAAAAAAGTCGCGAGTGAAAACACAATCTTTTTTAGCCCCGAAAAGTCTGTGATGCACGTGTTTCGAAGAGCAGAAGCGATAAGGGCGGTCTCGAGTTCATTTAAAACGGCAGGGTGCTCGTTCGCAGAGGCCCGTGGCATAAGCTGCATGAGGCACTGGCTCCAAAGTTTCGTCGTTCTCGCAATCCGATTCCTTCAAACTGCTCTCGCCACGTACTTCATTCACAATGCCCCAATCCGTGCACGGCTCCACAGTGTCGGCATCATCATCTGCCATAATTAAACCATCGCAACAGATGTCCCACCCGCTCTCCCAGGTGAGAGTCGACGACGCACTGCCACAAATCGCTGCTGCAGTTTGGAAGCTTCAGGCTCGGCATCGGGCCCGGCGTCGACAAAGTCGGCCTCGCGAAAACATTTTTGCGTGCATGTAGCCATCACCACCGTCCACGAAGTGTTCACCATCTCCACAGCTGAATACCGGGACGCCCGAAGCGGCAAGTTGGCTGCCAGGTGGTCAACAGCTATGAGCAAGCGCTCCGCAACGCGGCACCTAACGTGCGGATTATGCTCAAGCCAAGCGGTCACACTTTCGACGTTTTGTTGAGCGGCAGGAAAAAACGTGCTAGTGCTCCCGTCAGCCATCATGACCGCACACGCACAGCAAGAGCGAGCAAGACGCGCACACGTGACACACACCCCAGAACGCGTCGAACAGCTCTGGGCCCATTTCCAGTCAGAAAACGAAACTAATTCGAGCCAGCTTGGCAGGTGTCGCGGAGCGGTGGAGACGGGCGAAGGGATTGTGATCAAGAGAGGAGAGCAGTGTTGCGAGAGAAGGGCAAGGAGTTGCGATAAGGAGAAAGGAGGACGCGGCGGAAGGGCGACCTTGAAAACCAAAACACACGGGAAGGAGGCAGGTTGGGTAGCTTGCTTGAAAGGTCCGCGAAACTCGCACGTAGAAAAACTTGGAAAGAGTGCCTGCGCGTGCAGAAGTCCAAGTATGGCCTCCTGGATCGGAGCGCGCGGTGGTGTTCGAAGAATTGGTGGCCGTGGTCAAAAAATCGTTTTGTTGCTCCGGCGGGTTTGCGTGGCCTCACGAATTTCAATATTTCGCGATTCGTTCTGCGCATATTAACAGCCATTTTTGCGCTTCCGCCTGCGCACGGAAGGCATGCTGTGCCGAGTGCGAAGTGAGCGAGAACAAGTCCTAAACGCGAAACGAATTGCAAGTTATTAGAGTCGGTGGGGTAGCATACGCGCGTGCACTAGACGGAGACTATCGGATACAGTCAGTAACCAACGATGTTGGCAAATGGTATGGTCACTCCAGGCCGGTGACGCCAACGACAGTACCAGGGATCAAAAACAGGGTAGGTGGCCGATCGGTCTTTGAAAGATTGGTGGCAGTGTGAAAACACGGGCCTCGTCTGGAGATGTGGGGTGCTCAGAGTAGCAGGGGACAAAGGATGGAGGGGTGCGTAGCAAAAAGCAGTCGGGGCATAGAGGAAGAAAACAGCTTTCCTTCCTCCATGAGTTGGGGAGAGCGGCAACTGGCGAGTCGCGAAGGCAGGGTTGGTGTTTACAAATGAGAATGTATGGGCACCTCGCCGATGCCTGATCGGTGGTCGAAATTGGTTTCCAGGGAAGTCGGCAGACCGCCGACTCCATTCGCTGTAACCGATTAGCGGCGCTCGAAGACATTCGTTGCAAGTGCGATTTTGTGCCATTGAACCAATGTATATTTTCAGGGTCACACGGATATTGTTCGTTTTAAGCGAAAGTTCGTTTTAAGTGGGGCCGTTGTATGTGGGCTCGACTGTACGACATATTCAGAGGTTCAGGTGGTAACATCTGTTCCTGCACTAAAGGAGGCACAGACGTCGCAAGACCTGGCCAAAAGCTTTGCCGCCTAAAACTTGGCGATTACCTTCACTGTGTGGCTTAGAATATTGTTTCTAGTGCAAGCACGGGCGGACCAACAGAAGAGGAAGCGTCGGCAAGCATGAGAGGAGAAGCACACACGTGAGACGAGCTGGGTCTTCATGGTCTCGTAAACAAGAATGCTTTCTCTGCATCATATCCCGACCAGCATAGCTGGGGATGAGGTCCTCACACATGCAAGATGAAAGGATGCTCTTCGTTCTTCAACAATGTGGCACACGACCAAGCCGCACTGCAGAGAGCAACAAGGCAACAATACTGTGTAGTGCTCAGGTAAACCTGCAGCGCAGCACATGTGAAAGACAAATAAACATGTGACACAAGCACTTTGTAGATACAAGTGGTGTGGGAGTTCGCAGAAGAAAATAGTTCCTGCGAAAAAAAAAGTATGCTCAGTGTTTGGTTAATTCGGCTGATTAGCTTGAATTCAATGCTGAACCTCACATATGATGAACCTCGCATATGAACCTCATAATGATGATCTGCTGAACCTCAATGCTGAACCTCACATATGAACCTCATAATGATGATCTTTTGTTTCATAACTGGCTTTAGTTGGAATTTTTCCTATGGTAGAAAACACATTTCAATCTGTCAGTGCTTCCCCAGACAGAAGTTATTTGACATGTAGCGATGAAAAGCCGAGACATTTGTTGCAGGGCTGGCACACTGTCGGCACCTGCGGACGGTGCGCACGCACCTGTCGGGGCTGGTGCATTCGACGATTGTGTCGGGAGAAGGCGCCGAGACTGGCCTGACGCAGGCGGTATGGCAGCGCCTGTCGGCTTCGGGACGCCTGGATGATCCCCAGCAACTGCACCGGCTCGTCTACTTCGGGGGCATTGAGCACGAAGTCCGCCATCTGGTTCGTATTTCACTATGCACCCCCTTGCAGAGTTGTCACGTGGGTGACAACTTTAAGTGCAGAACACTTTAGGAGAATGTGCTGTTACATGGGGCTGTTGTCGTCACTTCGCAGTGCTTGGTGAGATGAGTGTGCACTCGTGCTGTGCAGAAATCTTCTTGCTCTTGTTCTTCGAGGATTACTCGTCATGACCAGCAAGGAAAGTAACTGGTGCACTCGTTGCAATGCAAACAAAACTATGTACCGTATTTACTCGATTCTACCGCGCCCTCGATTGTAACGCGCACCCGATTTCCACCGCGAAAAAAAAAAAAAAAAAACGTAAGACATCAATTGCAACGCGCACCCATTTTTCTCGCCGGCCCGCACGATCACACCACTCGAAAAAACTACTCCTTTCGGGAGCGCATTCTATTTAAATATGAGGTACGGGCGAAGCTTGTGCCCATCTGACGTGTAACAGAGCTTTCCGTCACGGTAGTTTTACCGTGGACCGATGTCAGCAGGCGAACTTGCTTCGCGCCCTTCTTCTCGACGGTTGTGGTGCCAGGCATGTCGAAGTAAAGAGGCGTCTGATGGGCATTCCTGATTTGCCCAAGCAGGTAGCCGTTGTTGCGCCGCAAGTTTAGGACGGACCTCTGAAAGCTGTGAAGCTTTTCATCGTACTCCTCCGCAAAACTTTTCGCATATGCATGTTCCCCTTCGGAGGGAAAAGCCTTTCCTCTAAATAAAGTTAGTTAGCCAGCACCTGCTCGCTTTAAACTGGCTCTGCATTAGACCTTTTTCCAAGACTAATTGCATAGCCCGCACTTGGAGCAGTTCTGTCGTCACGGGCCGCTGTGCCGCTCGCTGCTCAAGCACATACTCGCCGAGCAGCTCTTTAATTTGCGGAAACCGACCCTGCTGTGGTCCACTGAAGCCTTTGCGTGAAGCTTTGCTGTCGAGAATCTTCTGCTTTTGTTTCCGCCGGTCCCGCACGCACGTTTCGGGAACTCCGAACGACCGCGATGCGGTTCGATTTCCGTCCGTTTCTGCATACGCCATAACTTTTCTTTTAAAAGCGGCATCGTGGTGCTATCGAGTTTTTGGAGTCGGCCCTTCCACGCCATCGATGCTAATGCACTACTAGATGACGAACTCCTCAGCACACGTACGAAGTGCCGCACATGGGAAACACATAGGCAGAAATGGCCGACGCGCCATGCCAACGCACGTAGGGGGCGGCCATTTTGGATTTGCCGATGGCAATAGATTGACCGTATTTTTTTTGTTCGTACTCGATTCTAACACGCATGCAATTTATAAACTCGCTTAACCGGAAAAAAGGTGCGCGTTAGATTCAAGTAATTACGGTACTATAAAATCAGAAAAAAAATAGAGGAAACAAGCACGAAATAGTAAGAGAAAAAGAGGAGGAAGAAACACATCAAGAGGTAGGACCTAGATAGGAATAAAAAGAGGGAGAAGAAACTGGAAGAGGAGGAGAAGAAAAAAGTGAGGAGGAAATGGGTTTGGCACCTCTAGTTCAAAGCTGTAATAATTATTTTTTCATTTTATTTCATTCTGTTACACACTGCCAGGAGGGGCCAGAGTGGGAGCAGAAAGAAGCACTGAGCAGTGAGAGCTTAGTACACTGGGCTAAAACGGAGCAGCAGGTGTGTCAGCACGTAAACACAATACAAAAAAATTGTAATAGCTCAGTAGAGAAATTTGCTGGAATGGGTGAACAGCATCATACAAATAAATTAAATAGAAAGAAAATAAAACATGAAACGACAAACTGCAAAGCATTGACACTAGTAATGTGTACAAGCAAAGAAAGGGTGCAAATTGGGCAACAGCCAGTACTAACATCTCAGGCCTACAAAAGTGAAAAAAAAAAAGTATTGCCTTTTATTTCAACTCACAAAGGGATATCCGATAGCATGCAAGTACATGATGTAATGTGCTTCAAGCGTATTGGTGTCTACGGATCTCTGTTTCTCTATTTCTGATATTACATTGAATAAAGGCCCTGTAAGTCCCAGAAAATGCATACACATTTTGACAATGTTAACTAGAGAATAGCTCATGGAAAGATGGGACAGAGGCCCTTATCAGAGTTTCAGGGATATTTCTTGATTGATCTTAAACACCCTGAACTGTCATGCTCCAGGATATCCCTTCATGTGATTATGACTGCTTTATTATGAACACATTGCTTCATGTAAATTAAAGCATCTGCATTAGATGTACACCTGTGAACAAAAGTATACGAACCCTTGCCATCTTTGGCACTTGCTGTCGGTAGCATTTGTCTCGTGACAGCATTGTTCTTGACAGCTGTTCCGTCAAAGCAATGTTCTTGACTGCTTCTGACTAGGCGGCGATTTCAGCTCGAGCTTCCATGGTTTGTATACTTTTGCTCACGGGTGTACACATACGTGGCACAGGAGGTTCATGTATAGAACCAGTACACTTACATTGGGAACTTATGCATCTTAGCTAGTGCAGTGGAAGAAACACAAAAGACCTGAAAAATGAGTGAGTACACCTTCATTGGCATTGTATGCGAAAGTAGCAGGGTATCTAAAGCGGCATTGCAAGTAGTAGCACCGTCTGAGCCTCTGTGTGGGTTCTGGGCATGTCTGTACAATCTTTCTTTAGTGCTTTCCAAGATGCAACAGTTCTACACCCACCAACTGACCCAAATTTTTGCATTGAGCGGTCGGGTTGAGTTTTGGTTTTCAGATTTAGCATTGCTCTGCATGCTTACGAATACACTTCTTCTGCCCTCCACCTTCCTTTTTTTTTTGGTGCGGTCGAGCAACAGGTCGATTCTCTAAAAATGTAGCTGCGCGGTTCTGAAACCACCTAGCCAGTTGAGCTGGTCCTCAAAAGCACATGCAATTCCCTTCCTTGTTATGCGTCTGCCAACCACTGTGTTGCTACGGGCCGACAAGCTGTTACAGCTCCAAGCTCAAGAAGCATTGCAAATGCAGTGCTGCTCACAGAATTTATCGTTCTACATTATAATGGGAACAGAGGATGTGTTTAAAATTTTCCCGAGTATTATATGTGGTGCACAGGGGTGAGTCTGACTGGTTGATCTTGTGCTTGAAATACTTTGTGTAGGCAAAATCGAGTCTCAACCAGTGAATACACGTTTCACCTTCAAAAGGAAAAAGGTTTGGGTGTGTTGGTCATTCATAGTTCTTCATAAAACAGAGCGCGCAAAATATGGGACAGAAAGAGGTCAGGACAAGCGCTCCTCCTGATCAAGCACTTGTCCTGATCTCCTTCTGTCCCGTGTTTTGTGCGCTCTGTTCTATGGAGAACGTTTCACCTTGCCTAGTCCTCATGTTGTGTGCGCTGAAGTTTCAGTTTGCCTAATTTATTGTTTGGTTTTTTGTTGGACCCAATTTATTGAGAACTAACAGACAACAGATAAGGGATGTTATTAGAAGTCACATTTACATTATAATTACTTGGTTGTTGTAAAAGCTACTGGATCTGTCTATTTTATGTAGTGGTCTGTACCTGCAGTGCACCATATTAGAAAAAAAAGAAAAAGGCCATTTCCAGTGCCCTGGTTGAGTAAAAAGAAAGAACGAACAGCCTCCGTTGTCAGCCTGGTAAAATAACTGGATGAATTGGGAGTACCCGCAATTCTAGACTAGCCAAATATAAAGAAACATGCTCAATTGTAACAACAGCTTGCAAAGTTCCTGAAGTGATGATTCGGTCTTCCAGCTTAGTGACACAAGACATGGAAGCTTAAACGTTACTTTTTAAAGACGATAGTCTTTTTTGGGGACCTTCGACGCAAAAATTTTGGTCTGTCTGTCTGTACACTTGTCTGTTTGTTCATTTTTAACAGCATTGGGTATCTGAAACGGCCAAGCCCATCCGCAGCGCCCACATATGTTGCTCAAGATTCAGCGTTCATACTTGTGCAATTGTCTATTAAAAAGCAATTATTGCGCGTGTCTGGGGCAACATAACGACACGTATGTATTCTGCATGTGCGCCTTTTACTACAAAAGGCATACATAAGTAATTTTAAGGACCGTAGCGCTTATCACGCTGCGCTGACCATTCAACGCTTGCACGAAAAGGCGAGTGTTCCCAACGCTTTGCTAAAACGAGACGGTGGTGGCACCTACCCGTCGCCTTGCGTTCTACACCTTATCACCTCTGAGGCGGGCGCGCACACCCGCCTCAGAGCCACGCGCTTTGTTTTTGAAAAAAAAAAACTGCCAGATGGCGGTCATGTCTCACGTGTGACGTGACTTGATGCGCTTGTTCGCCTCTGCTGCACGCTCGAGGCACTCTACGCTGCGCCTCCAAAATACCATTCACCGATTTTCTTGAGCAGAACATCAAATAAATGTTTTGTTCACTCTCTCCACACGCAACACTATCGTCTTTCGACGACATTTGCAGATTAAATGCACATACGGGGCCAATTTTTATTTTTTTCAACATTTAGTTCAGTCCATGGTACTCAGAGATGTTTGGTAGGGGGCCTTGTTTTACAGTGGGCAGAAAATGTGATGACAATTTCCAATTGTTTGCTCAAAAACTGGAGGGACTATGGAGTACTTTTCTTGAGCCAATCTTGAAATAAATACCAGGTGGTCAAAATTTCCGGAGCCCTCCACTACGGCGTCTCTCATAATCATATGGTGGTTTTGGGACGTTAAACCCCACAAATCAATTGTCAATCTTGAAATAAATACATCTAAAGTGGATGCTTGAATGTTTTGGGGGTGTGTCGACTGTTTGTGCCCTCCTATTGTGCTCTGCCTTTCACCTTGAAGCGAGTGCCTGTGGGTGGCTGCACAGGTGTGGCCATACCTGCTGGGCCACTATGCACTGTCCAGCATGCCCAAGGAGCGGCAGGAACGAGATGCCAGCACCCAGGCCCAGTACGAGGCCACCCTGTCCGAGTGGTTGGCTGCCGAGGCCATGGTGCGCCATCGGGAAGGACTGCACACCAAGCTCTCCTCTGAAAGCACCACCTCCGAGATACCCCTCATTGGTGGGCACCCTTGAACAACTTCCCTTGGGCGTCCGCACAGTATGCTTGTGAATGCAATCAAGATTAAAAGTAAGCAGTAATTTGCCCTTGCTTGCATTTCTTCTACGGCGATCCGAAGAGCATCATTTGCAGCTTGCGCAGGAGCAGTGTCCAAAGTCTCATCTGCTGAGAAACACTGCTTTTTTCATTCTTTTGCATCTCAAGTAAATTTGCTTAGGTTTGGTTTTGCAACACATTGTGATATACCGTATTTACTCCCATAATCCTTGCACTTTTTTTTTGTGGAAAACTGATGCAAATTTGGGCGGTGCGAGAATTACGCGGGAAAACTTTCCACGAAAACATACAGAGCGAACAAGAAAACGAAGTGGCCGCAAATCGGCATTCTCACACCAGCAACTAACAGCAAGCTTTGAGAAGTACTAATTAAAATTTACCTTAACAATAAAAGCAGAAGTTCAACTCAAGGCAAGATTTATTTCAGACACAAAAAGTGCAATCAAATAGTCGAGAATTGAAATACCATACGCAAAGCTTGTGGGTGTTGCGGGTGTAGCGGTAGCGTTCGTCGCTCAACAAGAGCCCTCAAAACGTAAGCGTAGGATGTCAGTATTGGGCTGATGGCTATTTAACAGAATCGTCCAGTTTTTTTCTGAAGAAATAAAGTTTACCGTCAATCCCAGTCTTAAGCACACGGCTTGCCCAACTCGTCTTGGTGGCTTTCAGCTGCCGTCACCAGTAGCGAACACAAAACTCATCGACTCTGAAGGGCCTACCGGCGGCCCTGTTGCCGTTCTTTAGTGCATGATCAATCACTTTCAACTTGAAAGCAGCCGTGTAGCTTCAGTATCGCCCCATAATGTCACAATATTACCGACACAAAATACAAAACACGCTGCAATGCGCACTTGCCGCTTTGGCTTGGCTTGGATTGAATCTCCGTGCAATAACAGTATGCTTGATGCTTAAAAGATGACGCCAGATGGCGTGCACTATCATCATCAATGGCTGGAACGAGCAGACGAAATTATTGCGGCAATATTCGAGGGTGCGATAATTACTCGAGGAAAAAAAAAAATTGTATTCTTGTTGGGTGATGTGGGGGTGTGAGAATTATGCGAGTGCGAGGATTTCACGAGTAAATACGGTATAGGGAACGGCTTCGACAAGGAGCAATAAAAACCAGAGGCTCCCTGTTCGAATCGGCCAGTGTAGATACCATTGCATTCGAATTATCTTAAAATTTTCCCCCATTGAAACATGGGGCTCTGCTGGAACTACGGCATTAGTTCAAAATAGCACGATACGAATTAATGAGCTTTCACTGTAGTAGCAATGTGGTTGGAAAGGCCATTCCAGTTTAGCTGTGTGATGAAATAATGTTATCCTCGATTTCACAATTCTTTAAACTTTTGTAGAGCAATAGATGACCTAAATAAAAAAAATCTTGTTACCAGATTACAATTTTTTAAAAGAACCTGTATTGTCGACATAATAAACAAAATAAGTTTTAATGTGAAAGCAATAAAAAAACGTATTTCACAGAAATTCCAGTGTCGGCATTGGTGTCAATGTGAGCGTTGTTGGTGGTGAGAAAAAAAATCATCTCTTTCCAGACCGAAAAATTGAGCAAGATGCGAAAAAAGTAGTAATAAAATATTCAGGTCCGAGCAAGGATTGAACCCAGGCCGTCAGTATGGCAAGCAGGTGTTCTATCACTGGGCCACAATATGTTTTTTTTGTTATTATTTGGGCCACAATATGTGTTGAAAAAGCTTTGAAAAAAAAAAAAACACTCTATGAATGTGATGTAAAAGAATGAGTCTCATTAACACATCATATACCGTAATTACTTGTGCAGTGAACCAACTCGCATTATGGACCCATTCCCACTTTGGTTCTTGGAAAAAAAAAAATTTGTTTTTAATGTATCTATGCATTTTATTTTGGTGTGATAGCCAGTGCCTTTGACAATCGAAACAATGTTAAACCGTGCATTATATCACAAAATAATGGCACAATAAAAGGTAAAATATAGCTTAATAACTATGCTAAACAGTTTTGAGCAGTGCGAGCATAGACAACGTTGGTTGAAATTTAAAGTGCCAGTAAACAACCCCAATGTCCAAAAATTTAATGAAGAAAAATATGCACACTTTTGCTATGTGAACATACTGCCGCAAGAATTTTATGCATACTGGCTGTAATAATAAAGTTACAGGGGTTGGAACACCATTTCAGCCAGTGTCAAATTTTCGTGTGGCCGCTTGCCACCCTTTTCTGTGAGGGACTATCCTGTCATTGTGACTCCGCCCACATCAGCAACGTGGCACGACATCCATGATACATCATTGGTGCTCAACAAATGACCGAGCAGGGCTTCCTGTAATGAGCACGTGTCATAGCGGCGCAGGCAGGAAACACGGATTGAGAGGAATTTTTGTCTTCGTGGTAATTGCGTGTACGAGAAGGATTGGTCAGGCGAGCGAAACAGGCACCTTTTTTTTTTTTCGAAATGGCAGGTCTGCACAGTGCTGCAATATTCGGCAAATGTGATTGCCGTGGTCTACTGTACAAAATGGTGAGCTTGTCCGGAAAAAAAAAAAGTTGGTGCCTGTTTACTGACCCTTTTAAATTCGCGTCTTTTGCAGCAGAGTGCCATTTGTCTAACGCACAAAGAAACTTCAGCTTACATCGCCATGCAAGCGCAGCGGTGCGAAAAAGAAGCAAAAAAAAATTAGACCATCTAGTAGAGATGGGTGGGAGCACTGTTCAGCTAAGAATGGGCAGTCCAAGAAGCCCTGGTGGCTTGCACAGGGACTGTACCGCAAGCCAATGGGGTCCCGGACTAGAGACTTCACCCGTTCATCAATGATGAATGCATATAATATAGCTTTTCATCCATCCATCCCGCAAAAGGGAACTATGAGGGATGTGAAGCAGCAGGTAGATGGTAAATGGCACCCATAGAAACTCATCTACATCGCCTTAAGCAGCTGCATCAACATTCAGAACCCCTACATGACACTGCCACTGCCGGTGACCATCGCTTGATGCCAGCGACTGCTGCCGTGAACGCTGCCGTTGAGCAACGCTGCCGGTGACTATGATTATAGCACTGCTAAACAGCCGGTCTCTCAGCGCACACACCAGAGACATCGAACGTGATCCCATGCTAACCAAAGCAGAGGCTCTGTCTTACGGAAATGCAGAATACCGCAAGACCGACGATCAACGACTACGAGCAAAGCAGACATGCTTTGTCTTGCGGAAACTTTGCCTTCGTTGCTGACTCGGGGGAGAGAGGGGAGGGGACGCGCATGCGCAGTGGGAGGAGAGTGAACGCCGCGGGAGGGAATGAGGCACAGACACAATCTTTGCCATGAGCTGCTTCCCATAGAAAAACAAACCGCATTCGCACCCACTGTGCCGATGACGCAACGTGCACCCGCAACATGTGTGCGCCTCTATCTGACACTGCGTCTTTAGGGGCGAAGCTCCTAAAGGCGTGGGTCTGTACATTCTCTGAGGTACGTATGTAGTTGTAGTAATAGTAGGTAGCCACTTCTGGTTTAGTTCTTGCAGTGTTCACTAGATAGCGGTAGTTGATGCGAGATGTTATATAACTAGATAGTGGTACTTGTAGTTGATGAATAGATGCGTGATGTTATAAAACTAGATGGCGGTACCTGTAGTTGATAATGAAAAATGCGAGATGTTTTAATAGGAATGATGTCACATATGGTAGTGTAATTGGTGGAAGGAAATTATTCGAATTAGTGCGCCGGCGTGTGCTAAGGAGAGCATTGGAATAAAATTCGTTCGCTGTTGGCGCGACGTGAAGCTGCGCAACACCGCTACCAAGATCCTGCCGTATGAGAGCGGTAGGCCCAAGCGGCATGGCATACACACACAGCGTTTCTCACGTCTTTAAATGTTGATTGACTCGGCGAATTACACAGAAGACTCTCAGTTTACCGATGATTCCCTTCAGAGCTCCGCCCACTCATCATAATTCAGCTCATGGATATGCTGTGATTTTTCGTTGATGATCAGCCGGTTTTACACTTAAAGTTGGTTGCGCATGCACTGGAGCATGGAAACCGCATGGCTGGACGACACTTTCAGAGTGGCCGGCAAATGCGCTATCCTCACAGCACGTGCCGGGACACCTGCCGAAACAGTGTCTCTGATACGCTCTTTCGCCCCCCGCTTGCGTGCGCCAGGTATCCCGGGATGTTCCGCATGGCTGTGCAGATATTGCGTGTACAGCTTTGGGTTGCAAAAAAAGGTACAGCCAAAACAAGGACAGTTTCCTCTTGTGGAGAGCGAAGTTTTCGAATAGACTCCATAGTCCTGCCACTGAATTGAAGGCCAGCAGCAGTTGGTGAGCGAGTTTTTTGATACCTTCATGTGAAATTTTCGCTGTTATAACTCCCTTGACTTTTTTCTCCTGCGTAATGAACCCTCGTCCCTGAATGGTGTCAACTTTTTCAAAGAAACGTGGGTTGATTAAACGAATAAATACGGTATTGAATGGCAGGAACTTAGAATCGCACGAGGTATCAAAAGATGCAAATTGGGCAACAAGTGGGTGTTTCAATAGTCCGCCTATTACGAAGTGCTCAGACATATTTAAACATGATCAGAAGCAGAACCACGAACAAAGTGAACAGCTGCGTAGATTTGCGTGTTGCCCTATTTACGCATAAGGGGCCCTTTGCTGACACAAAAGAGGAATAATTATGGCTTAGTGGGCACTTGGGAACTGTGGTTGCAGTAGGCATTCAATAATATTTTCAAGCGGCCAACGTTACACACACAGTATTTTGTTTTGTTACCACACGGTTGAGGCACGCACCGAGAACTGAAGCCGGCTAGCAGTTGCAATGCGGACGAGGTTGGATCACACTACTATTTTGATCTGCTCTTCAAGTGTCTTCTAGCTTATTTAATTTAAATAAGCTCTCAAGGTTAAAGTTCATTTGAATATGTTAGAT